CAGCGACCTCAGGGTGAACGCAACACGGAAGAGATTTACCGATAATGTAGTGCGATCTTTTGCCTTTGATTTCCATGGGAAAACGGCATGATTTTTTTTTTAAATCAAGAAATTATTTGTTTTCGAAAGATAAATTATTCTTCAATGCTCAGTTTCACACTTTTACGGTGATAAAAGCTCATTGTCTAAAACTTACGAAACACGGACGTATTCAGAAAGAGTATTGACAGAGGTCGCCGCCAGAACAAAAGCAGTTTCATTGCCTGTCTGATATCCTTATCACCGCTGAACAATAAATAGGTGTGAATATTTTTAGGCATGTTGTCGAAACAAATGAATAGGATTAGGAACAATGCCGTTTTGGAACAGCTGGTTGAAACAATGAAGTCAATCACGGTCTTGTTGAATTGGGGGTGCGGTTAGTAATAGGTACTTTTCAAGTTTTCAATTTTTGTTAAGAACTCTTTAACCCCGAAGCCGGAGGAATTGGGGGTGCGGTTACTATTACGCATGCGGTTTATATTAGGACTTTAACGGTAATAGAAAAAATATGGTATATGTTTGTTTGTTAAATATATACCCTCCAGGTTTCAGGTTTACAACAGTTTAATTTTTTTTCTGCAGTGATTTCAACTTGGATGAATTCAAAAGAACCATTTCTAACTGTGACACGTATACTGTTGCTCTTCCGTATTTTTGGGAACATTTTGATAAAGAAGGTTATTCTATCTGGTATAGCGAGTATCTGTATCCTGAAGAGTTGTCAAAAATTTACATGTCCTGTAATTTAGTTGGTGGTGAGTAATTTTTATGTCATCTAATCATTTCTTCACTTAAGGTACATTTACATACTGTTTGGAGTTTGGACTATTTTCGTTCTCGAATAATTCAATGAACAAGCAAGATCTATCAGAGTTCATTTTGTATCGATAACAGCAATTATTTCCAGTGAAGATTTTGGAGGATCTGCCTTTATCGTTACCTCATCTACCTATACATGTGTGAAAAAACCAAACATGATGCCTTAGTAAATACAATTTTATTTTAGCCAATGTTATGAATGCTTGCTTGGCAGCCAGTGTGGACGATGCGTTGTCCATTTAATTAAATAAAAAAAAAACATGTACACAATGTTTTAAGTGGAAAAGATATATTAATGGTTATTCTAAATCTCCTAATAAAAGAAATGACAGCATATTAGCCCCATTATGCTGCATCCTGGGATTCATGTACATGTCTACTGGTTTCACAATCAGGTTCAAGATGGCCAAATGTTAATGTAAAAAATATATCAAAGTAAAGCATTTCTGCCCTTCCGAAACCATATACATCATATATGCATGTGTCGTTCAAACTTTGCATGACACTTTGTTTTTCAGATCAAACTCAAAATGGCTAACTGGTGGTTATTATAAATGCAGTTTCTCCAACATTTCCTTAGTAATCATTTATAAACTTTTTATATAAATGTCGCACATATGCATATTTATTTGGTAATCCAATTTATCTAAATTGAGTATTTTTTTTTTTTTTTAACTTAGTATGTGCATTCAAGTTAATGGAACCTTAATGCCTGTCAGTTTGTTTTTGTAAATGCAATTCTGTAGCCATGCTTTCTGACATACTCTGACTGTTCGATTTCAAACTCAATGAATTATGTAATGCAATTAATTGTTGACTTTGGTTTTCAGGCATGATGCAAAGACTTGAAAAACTGAAAAAAAATTGCTATGGCTCTGTCTTGATATTTGGTGAAGATGACAATAGCTCCATTTCTGGGATCTGGTTCTGGAGGGGACAAGAACTTGTTTTTCCAGTAAGTAAAAGTTGTAACAGATGCAGTTACAGTAATATCACAATATGCATTAACCTATTGCGCCCCAATGCGGCCATATACGGCCACTTATTTCTGACCAAAGATAACCCAATTCGGTCGTAAAAGGCCACCCGTTAATGCACTGTCAAAATCCCAATGCGGCCGTAAACGGCCGGTATTTCATAGATTGAAACAGAAGTTGATTCTGATCTTTGCATGAACAAATAAATTGTTGATGAAAATAATTCGAAATACAGGTACGTCCAGACTGAAAGTTACATACGAATTGTCCTCGTACTTTTCTTGTACAACGGGTTTTT